CATGGTCTTTGGGGATGAAGGCCACGACCCAGATGGGCAATGCGGCCTCAAAGATGAAAGCGACGGGCCAGGTGGACAGCGCGATCTTGAAGCTAATAGCACCACACCACAGCCTACTCCACTTCTTACCATATCCGAGGCGAGAATGAATCTGCCCCTAGAATCGGGACAGATGCACGGGAGGTTCCCTCGTTATTGTTCCTCGTCGCTTGGCACCGTAGCTCAACTTTCGGTTCATCCTACACCGGCAATCTTCGAGGTGAGTGTAATCTCCTTCTCTTCTCGTCCGTTTCTTACTAAAGTTCTTGTCTACTCTCTTCGCGCTTGAATGCACCTGGCCTTAAGGTAAGTCTCCGACCTCGCTGATACCTCACGCCACTTCTGCCATTAGGACAAGCAAAATCAAAAATGGATTTCTTCCGCTTAAAGTAAGGGCGGATACATGCATTGCGAAGTGGCGCGGTAGCTCGTCGTTCGGTTTGCCCTGCTCTGCCAGCCTTCCTGTATGAACCTTCTCACTCTCTCTCGTTACGCACGCTCATGTCTTGTAATGTTTGCACCTGCCCGTCGGCTAACTCGTGCGCTCCTGCTCCTTCTGAAATCTGATGCACTTAGCCCGTGAGGGCGGTCAGGTTCACGGATCTCCGTTTACTTACTAGGACACAAGGCGCACGTGATGACGGCGAGCATGGACCCGACGAGGAGCCGTATAGCCATGTAGACTACAAGGGCGAGCAGCACGAGACCTCCTCCACGATTTCATCGTAAAAGACTACTGCGACCAGCGGAACGAGCGCGTCGTCACTGCTGGTGAAGAAGACAATCAATACCAATTACTTGCTGATGACGGGCAGCGCCTGTCCGCCGCTTTACATATCAGAGTGCTGCAAACGAGAATGAACTTCCTGCTGAATCATGGGAAGATGCATCCTTGCGCAGACTTTATAGTCATAGCGGCCGAACCGGTGGCCGGCTTCAAATTCTGCCGCGGCCAATGCCTTCAGAACACCTCAAAATCCCAACTTAGGATCTTTTCTCGCTCGTTTTCATTAAGAAACGAGTGAGATACCCCTTTTTCACCCCGACTATCCCTCTATTCTCCTCCCCCRATTCCATCGCGCAACCCCATGTCTTTTTAACTCCCTATCTACCAACTGTCTGACTAAACTAACGTCGGGATCGGATTCGCCCGCCCTTAGAACCTTTGTCCGCCATCTTTCMCCGCTCGTTTTTGTTAACAAACGAGCATGYCGTAGCKTTTTGCTCCCMCCATAGCTTCCTCYCCCGTTGCTCTCTTCTTCTTTATTTTTKAACGTACCTGGCGCACGTKGGCGTYCAGGTTCATTCTTCTTCCGCTGTCATTCCCCTCGTTTCCCCTWACTTTCTCCTCCTACCTCTCCTCCTMCACTGTCACCTTCTCTCTCCTGTGATCATACTCTCTTYCRTTAACAGGTAAGACTCCTGSTTCGCATGAGACACACTTWCTTCCAAATGAGCAACGCACCGCTCAACAATCACGTGAGTGCCGTYCAGCGGCTCTACTTATCCCGCAGGAAACTTYGRAGGGATCCAGCCGCTAGACGGCTCGATTAGTCTTTCACCCCTATACCCAAGTCCGACGAACRATTTGCGAGCCACTGGCTACGCCCAAGCACTAGGTACTGCTATGGACCTAGACCTTTATGATGGCTAAGTTCAGACAAGCGTAACACCCCATGTGCATGCCACGAMCGCACAGGGGCTACGCTATTTCTTCTCTATATCGTTCCAATTTTAACGGATGTCCCGAAGGACCGCGGCCGAGTGATGGCCTTGGAACGTCGTCATTTGGTCGGCCGGGCCTGGTCAAACTCTGAAATGTTTGGTTCTTGCTTGTCAAGCACCTTCACTTGGTCGAACAATCTAATGCGGGGTACCGGCACCGGACCATTCCTAAAAAAAGAAGAACGGGACCAGACAGAACAATAATAACAAAGATAAATAAAACTAAAAATAAAATAAAAAAAGCTAGAGAATTATAGGAAACAAGGAGAGGGGAAGGAGGGCCGTTGGAACTCGGACCTCGGCCCTTTCCAACGGGCCCTGCGGTCGGACTCCCCAACAAAACTAAGGGGGATAGTCCCGCAGGACCCTCGACCCCTCATTTTTCTCCAAGCTGTGCTCCTCCACTCCTCCAATGCTGGTTGCTGGTCTCGATCCCGGGATCTGCTGGTCAATAGCTCAGTATGTTAACCAATAGGGCTAGGCCCAAGTCTAAGCTTAGTATGCGCAAAATTTCATATGAAGTGTACTTGCAGCTAGACCTGGCCTATAGCAGTGTACTAATACCGCCAGTAGGTTTATTGCCTGAGCACATGGCCCGCAATGTCGTGCTGTCACTGCCTCGCGGGCAAAGCTTCACTTGGCTCGTTATGCACACTGCCCCGCCACTCTGTGGCCAACTCCGAGGCTTTCCTACTCAATCCTATCCCTCGAAATGCCAGCCCTTTATTGCCTCCGGGTCGGAAAGACCCCGGCTTTAGCTCGCACCATACCCAATCTGTGCCAACCTACATAAAGCTCGTCACGGTTTCTACTGTCGTCCACTCGCAGCCAAATCTAATTCTCGCGCACTCCACATTATGCGGCCCCAAAGGTGCCGCATTTCCGTAAGTTTAAATAAAAGATTTTTCCTCTAGCCGTAGTCTCAAAGGTTAAATTTTTGCGCTGGTCGTGACTTCGCTACCGTGTTCGGGGTCGCGGCTCACACAACGTTCTTTTAAAATTCCAACCTTCTCCTAGCTCGCACTTCCAAGCGAGATTATCAGTTTATATTGATTAACCATCTAGCTAGCCTAACGCGTGCTCTCAAGGTGCACGCCCACACACTCTCTGATTCAATCAAAAAATGCGAGTGTCATTCCCACGTTCTGGGAGTTGGTTGTGGTCACCCAGAAATGGGACACTCTTTCAGATATTGTTGAAGACGCATCTTCTGTGAGATGCAAAAATGTGCCCAAATACCTTTGTAAGGGTGTTCGGACTGACAGTTTTCCGGACCCTATTAAGCGACACCCCCGTCGCGTAAAATAATCAAAACTATAAACTGAACAAAATCACATCTGCTGACAAGAAAGTAACCAATCCGATTAGTCGACTCGACTCTGTTCGAGGTAGTCTATCAATCTACCCCCGTCACGGTGATCCACTGCCAGGGTTTTAACATGGGTCTCTCACGTCCTGGCCTCGGAGTTAGTGGATACTTTGTTCCGTACTACAACGTAATACCCGCTACCAGGTAGTAAGTTGATAGTCCTCTCCCTTCGTCGTAGACATCTGCCGGTTCATCGTTGGTGTCCTATTTAGTCATCGTCCCGCGCACGGGGTCATAACTTAGGACGCGGGCCCTAATCGAGACCTCTTTTAAATACGAGGCACCTTTAGTCCCCAAATGGTAATGTTTACCATATCTAATATCTGATCATACTGAACTCCCCTCCTGGAGTCTAACACATGTGGTTTTTAGGTCTCCATCTTGGCCCACCGCAGAACGGTCGATCATGCCGAATCCACGGCCCATCGCGTTGTTATGTAGCGATGGTGCATTCGTTGGTTGCGCAACGATAAACAATTTTTCCTATCTTGGTACCCCGAAGGGTCCTGACTCTTGACTTAGTCGACCCCAATGACTTTCCCTCTAGCTAAGCCTCTCCGGGCGGCCGACCCTTCAAGACTTAACCTTTGGTGAGCCATGGTCCCGTTGCCAGGTTGTGCCGGTCAGCGGCCCTCGCTGGGAGTTAGGTTCTACAGTTTCAACGATGCTAAGTATAGCCCCTTAGCTTGGCCTCACAAAATATGTCCCTTAGACTGACTCCATTGTGATCTGGCATTCTCTCTCAAAAGCTTTCAGCATAACCAAAGGATCAAGTACCAACTGCCCATGGGACTACGTGGAGGGATATTGCCTTTTTCAACTTTCCAACAAGATACTCAATAAACCACAAGGGTCGTGCCTTTCCTTACCTTGATCAGGGCAGGTGAGGTCACACGTCTTAGGGACATCTCTCAAATGTTTTCCAGAGTTCTATCTCAATTGCCATAAGTTTTCCATTCATAATTCTCACAAAATTTTTGGCCTTTCCTCGTCAGACTTACATACATAAAATTTTCTCATCGTTATAGCACCTCATTCGAGTGTTCTCTCATAATATCACTTTCATATAAGGAAAAACCCAATCGGCCATTGAGTTTCCTTCTCTCGCTTTTGAGCCACACACAAAACACAACTTCAGTTGTGACCTTTCCATTTATCATCACTCATGCCCTTATAAATTATGACACAAGTCTTTATTCTCAAACAAACGTGAGGTGCACTCCCTTACCCTGTACTTATGACTTCATCTGTTATTGAAACATGTATGTGTAAGAATAAAGGGAGATAGTGCAAATCAGATTGTTTTATAACATCTATTTCATCACAACAATCATTCATATGAGCAAGTCCACAAACTGAGAGTGAGTGTGACACACCACACAAAAAGGAAGAAGTTTGAGACTCGCGTATGCGCATAGAATCTGGTGCCTTGCAACAATAAAAAACTCCCGTCCATATCGAAACGGTCAAGGTATCGTACAAAGAATCCAAGTATTACACAAAGAATCTGGGTATTGTACCAAGTGTCACAGTACTCAACAAAGAATCAGAGTATCCGAACGAAATGTCAAAGTAAAAGTCAAGGTAAAAGGAAACCAAGATCTCACACCGCTCTGAACGAGAAAGAATCATAAACTCACACAAAAACACTATCTAAGAACACTCCACACCACACTGAAAAATGTGAAACTAAAAAATGAGGAAAATCAGTGTCACACTCAATACCATCCTATGTACAACTAAGCCTAAAAATCAATATGCGAAAGTAAACATCTCAGTAATGACTCAACTAACTGATGTACATGGGTGTGATCCAATTCTCCATGTGTCCTCCTATATACAATCATCTATCAGTAGTGAGTCAGAGATGCTTTATACTTGTCAGAATCTAGACCTTTCCGGACCCTATGAAAGAATCCTATTCCTCATCACTCATGTCCTCCTGCAGCTGCCTATACAACTGCGCCCGTATCCCATCACGAGTCTTTAGGATCAGGTTCCCATACTTATCCCTTTGTACCCCAGAAGGATCCCAAGAAAACAAGCCATTCGTCTCATCCTTGAGGCTTTTGGGACAGGTCTCCTGTGGGTGCTTGCCCTTCTTGCAGTAGAAGCACCTTCCAAACTTCTTCTGCTTCATTATGTCAGCTCCTTGGGAGGGGACAGATGAGGGGACTGCTGTAGCCTCGCTAGTGATCTCCTGCTGTGGATGCTCTGGAGGAATGGGGCATGCTGCTCTGTCATCTGTATGCGCCATCTGATCACTCACTCGCTCCTCTGACCCAGATCCAGTGGCCCAAGATCCCAACACATCCTCCAGACCTGCAATTAGGGGCATACCCTGAGGTGGTGGGGTTTTCTGAGAAACCTCCAGATCCTCCCCTACCTCAGCTTCAACCCTGGCCTGTCCCACACTCTCCTGAGCCTCCTGCTGCCCCACAGTTTCTCTCTGAATCGTAGGTGGTGCAGCCTCATCCATGTTAGCCTCTATTGGTGGCCTCACCCCTGGCCTCACTAGTCCCTGCTCATGTGCCAAGACGGTGGGCATCCTCCACTCAAACTCTCCTGCCTCTAAGTCCCTTCCTGCTAGTGTCTCTTGTGACTCCAACATCCTCTTATCCAGCAGCGGGATTTCCTCACCCTTTTGCTCGTTTGCCCTCTCTTCCACCTTCTGACTCTTGAAGGCCTCCTCTGCAGGCTGCTTCCTGATCTCAAACCCCTGGACCTCTGTCCAGTCCACCACTGCAGTAGGCGCCTGCTGTGCACATTTGGCCTCAAGATCCTCTATCCTCTTCTCCCACTTGGCATCCTTTACCTGAAAGATATTCTGTTGTACCTGCAAGTAGGTCCTCAAAGTGTCGTTGACTTTGTTGAGGGTATGGTTGACCTGTCTGATGGCCTCGTTGCCTGCCCAGGCCTTCTCCACCTCAGTCTTCATGACTTCCATCTCCTTGTCCTGCCTCTCCAACTCCTTCTTGAGATCACCAATTTCTTTCTGCCAGTCCATTCTTTGCTCATGAGACGCTCGCGCCACCCTTGTCAACCTCTTCTTCATTTTTTCATCAGAAGTCTTGGCCGCCGTAAAACCCTCCTTCATAAGGCCCTTCAGGCTAAGCAAGTCTGTAGAGATCAGCTTAACCCCCATCTTCCGATGCTGCTCCCTGGGCCTCCCTGCTGCCTCCAACAGGTTATCAAAGTTGTCCCAAGCTTCTGTGAAAAAAAGAGTCTCATCGTCTTGAGTGGGTGAGCCATTCCCCTTTCTGTCTTCTAGTATCACAGACTGCTCTCCCTGCTCAACCTTCTCGTGCATCTCCGCAATGTTCTTGAGTCTGATTTGGACTCTGATCTCTCTTTCTATTGCTGCTCTCTCCTTTCTGTCCTGTTCCTTCTCCCTTGCAGCCTGTTCCTCACTCTTCTCCTTTCCATGTGGCTCTTGAGGTACTTCTGGCCCTTTGTCTGTCATAGGGCAGTCATGAGCAGGCTGAGGGGGCGCATCTGATCCACCTGATGGTCCTCCCCTCCGGGTCCTTTCTGCAGCCTGCCTCTCTGTCTGTTGTGTCCAATCAACATGCTGTTCCTCTCTCCTCTGAACCCTCTCAGCATGCTGCTCTTCTCCTCTCTCCTGCATGTGGGACCTGTGCTCTCTTCTCTGTCAGTCCCTCTGAGTGCCTGAGGTCACGCCCTGCTCCAAAGTCCTCCTCTCTATGACCTCTGGCTCCTTCCTCTTCTTCTTCATACCCCTTCTTTCCTCTGCCTGGCGTGTGGGAGTATAGTAGCTCCTCAGTAACCGCCTGCAATCTCCCCAATGCAACGCTCTTTCCACAACGCTCCTGACGAACATCCTGATAGGCCTTCTCACGAACTGGAGGAACCCTCTCACTCTGGTCTCAGGTGCAATGTTCTGCTCGTCCGCAAACCGGTCATAAGCCCACAAGAACTCATCCAGGTTCGTTCCATCGAACCGGATTGGCACTCCATCTCTCCCCACAGGCGATGGATGTATCCCTTCCATCTTCCTTTCGAATTTCTGCCAGGTCGCTGACTCCCGTACATATCTGGCAATGGCCTCAGCCCATTCGCCCTCTCCTCGTACCTCTCTCAGCATCCTGGCTCCATCCCATTTGAACTTGTTGGCATGCTTCTCGAACTCGACCAAAAACAACTCCACGTTCCCTCCTCTGAAGATGGGTGGCGTGTCCTCTCTCTTGGTCCATCCCTGCATTCTCTATCTGGCTGCCCCCTGAGGGGGTTCCACTGGCCCTGCCCCTCCCTTCCCTCTTGGCATGGCTTCGCCAAATGGTATCAAGCCTGCACAACAAGGAAGAGACAAGCCAAAGCACACAGAGTGTAAGCAGGTTCGGCACACAGTGAGAGACAGACACATCCCCCCCCATCTAACCTAGACGCCTATACATGCATACACATACATACGTACTATCATTACCCATCATATCATTCTAATGAACGTTCATACAATCTTTCTGTACTGATACCCCCATCAGAAAGACATACTTAGCAATAGAAAGGGACTCTAGCTTGTGAGGTCCAGACTCACCTCGTCTCGAGCGACAAACTTCTTCAACCTCGAGCCTGACACCCAGTCCTTCCAAGCGGTCTTATTCAGCTCCTCAATTTGGTATGCGCCATGCTCGCCACACCTTGTGATCCTGTACGGCCCTAACCACCGCTTGTCCAATTTCCTCGACTATTGCTTCTCCAGGGACGAGTCGTACAGTAGCACGACGTCTCCCACCTTAAGAGGTTCCTTCCTTACTCGTGCCTATTGGTCCCACCTGAACTTGTCCTTGGTTCGACTGTCAGCCACCCTACTTGTCGCTTCCTGTACCTTATCCTCTATGACTCCAATTTGACGTGCCCTTAGATCAAGCAAGTCCTCAAAAGACAAGGTTGTCTCGAGGTCTTGTCACCTCCAAGTCTTTAGGAAACTTTCTATAGGGAACGTCGCATGTCTGCCATACCATAACGTAGTTGGCGCGTAGTTGGTACTCCTTCTAACAGTGATATATTCCACGAAAAAAACAACCCTTAGGAAAGTTGGCCACTGATTAGGCCTGCCATCTGTCCATTTTGCGAGAAGATTTGTAATGGTACTGTGCCCTCTTTCCACTGGTGCGTTAGCCTGAGGGTGCGCCGCAGTCGTATACTCGGCGATCATACCATACCCTTTCAGCAACGCTTTCACTTCGGCATAGGTGAATTCGGACCCCCTGTCCATTACGAATCTTGAGACGAAAGGTTAGCGAAGGTAGTACTCTTTAATGCATCGAGTTAGTACCTCTCCAGTCTTCGTGCGAATAGCCTTACCATCAACAAACCCTAAGAGATTGTCTCGTGCATCAAAGATATAGTTAAATCCTCCTATTCTCATAGGCATCGCTAATAGATCCAGATGAACGACTTCTCCAACCTCACGTATATATCTAGGGTGAAGTGGCTCCCTAGGTCTTAGCGATGACCGCTCCTGACATGATACACAAGATTTACAATATCTGTCGATCATGTGTCTCAAGTCATCCCAATAATATAGTTCGTGAATCTTTAAGTATGTTGCATTTGTGCTCCTGTGGCCACCAGCCGTTCCATCATGAAGGTCGGCCATAACGTCAATCTGTTGATTTATTCTGCAGACTACCCTTCTGGGATTCTTTCCTTTACTTCTCATGAATAGATGGTCGTCTCTCACTAAGAAATTCGGTTGCATCTTAAGGACTCTTTCGCTAGCGTCTCTTTCTCTTATTTCACATGACAGGAGAATTCCCAATTCCAGATATGCTCTGTCGTACTCCTTTGCACGAAAGACCTCTTTTATCTCACCTTCTTCAAAATCATCGTCCTCTCCTTGGTGGATCATGTTCTCCTCTCCATCTTGCCTCTCTCCTTCAATCCTAACAACCTCTTCTTGAAGCAACGAGTTTGCCAACAGGTACATTCCACCTGCCAATCGTTCATGCTTTTCTACCTGCTGGGGTCCGGTCTCCAATGTGACCAAGTCTTCCCGCAACTGGTACTTATCTGCCAAGGTCAACTCCATCATCCACTCCACTCCTTGCATTCCCCAAGAATCTTCCTCAACATAAGGTTTGAGGACTATATCAGGCCGCCTCACATGACCTAGAGGTGCGAGCCATATAGGTCGTCCAGGAGTAACATAGTTACCTATAGCCAATGACCAGGAGTTAATGTGGAGTTTAACATCCTCTTCCTTGTCCAGGAAACCGTCGACTGGCGGAGTATCCTCAATCACCCCTTTGTTGCTCTTGTCCCAGTCGACGCGACTYAACYCATCTGCCCTATTCTTGTTCCCAGTAATACGCTCCAATTCGAAGTCAAACATCCAGATGTACGTCAACCACCTGGCAATGGTTGGATCTGAAGGAGCGAAGTTCTTAAGGGAACCAGCTAGAGCAGTTGGGTCCACCCTCAACGTAAACCTGCTACCAAAGAGGTAGTTTCTAAAGATCCTCAAGCAGTGAAGAACTGCCAAGGTCTCGCGCTTAAACTGAGAGTAATTCCTCTCAGTTGTGTTAAGCGTCCGACTCTCAAACCTTAGCGGCCGCTCTTCTCCATTGAGGTCTCGTTGGATCAACATCCCTCCCAGTGCAGTCGGTCTTGCGTCAGTTTTCACAATAAAGGGTCTGGTCATTACAGCCGCATGGTCTGGTACCCCCAGTACTAGACCCCCTTCCTCAAATTCTTTCATCAGACCCTCTATTACTGACTCCTGCTTGTCTCCCCATTCCCAATCCTGACCTTGGCGCACAAGCTTTCGCAACTGCTCTGTCTTTGCCGCAAACCCTTTGATGAACACTCTCCAAAACCCACATGTTCCCAGGAAACTCCTTACCTCTGTAATTGTCTCGAATGGTGTTGGCCATTCAAGAATCTTATTCGTTTTCTTAGTGTCTGATCGACGACCCCTCTCGTCGCACACAAACCCTAAGATCGTTGCTCCACGCATACAATGCCTGGACTTTGTTCCGCTTGCAGTGAGGTTATGCTCCTTCAACAAGTCTAGGACTTTACAAAGATCTTGCACATGATCCCAGACAAATCGCCTAATCCCAGACATCACCTCCTGCTCGTTCTTCTCTTTTAACAACCATTTCGTCAAAACGGACATATTATATTTTTTGAACGAAATTAAAACTGACTTTTTTTGCCAAAATCCGGTCGGAATTTTCTGATCCTGGGGGTCCGGCGTTCCCAAAACGCCGGACCCCCCTGGTTTATGGTTGAGACCATCTACAATTTATTTATTTATTTATTTATTTATTTATTTTTTTTTTTTGTATCTGGTCTCAACCATAGACCAGGGGGGTCCGACGTTTTGGGAACGCCGGACCCCCAAGAGCAAAAAATTCCGACCGGATTTTGGCAAAAAAAATCAGTTTTGATTTCGTTTGAAAAATATAATATGTCCGTTTTGACGAAATGGCTGTTTTTTGACCCTTTCACAGCCAAATCGTCGATGTAGGTTGTGTAATGTGAGGACTTACTGGTTGCATTGCCCTCACCATGTGTCTCTGGACCATGGCAACCGCATTCGTCCATCCGTGCGGTGTGACATTCATGTGAATCAGCCCTCGAGGGGTATGCATTGCAGTCATTGGTTTGTCCGAAGGGTAAACAGAAAACTGGTCATAACCAGAATACAAGTCTATAAGAGATATTATGGATCTTCCTGCGCATGCCTCTGAAAGCGCATCAGCGTTAGGGAGACTCCCTGCATCTCTCACTGTTACAGCATTCAAGCGCTGCAAATCCTGTACCCATCTCAGTGTCCCATTTGGTTTGACAAAGCAAAACCAAGGGGATGCATATGGTCCACTCGAGTAGTCTGAGACATGAGTCCGGATCTTCCCGTCAAGATAATTTACCACCTTTTCTTCGTCAACCGGACTCGGGTATCGCGCACCTCGCAGATTCCATGGTTCATGTGGCACGGTATGTATCCGAATCATCGGGATCTTGTCAACATCCAGGCGGCCATGTTCGTCATCATTGAAGGCATAGGCAGTATGTCTTCCTCTCATGGTCTCTACCATCAAATGTCTCTCCTGCGCTGTAAGGAAATCTGGTTCCCCTATGATCAGCGCCTCTTCCGTTTCTTGATTGATACGGCATGGTCCATTCTCCGTATTTTTCCGCATCTGCCGTATTAACTCTCGTTCCCGCTCGTAATAAACTTCTTGTTCCTCAGTCACGAGCACAGGAACAGGGCGACATTTTTTATCTACTTTTTTATACCGCCTTTGTGACCCTTGCTTGAGTCCACCCCTAAAAAAGGCGGAGTCGTACTCAGGGGTTGGGCTCCTGTCGATCCTCCTATCTTTCTGGGCGTTCGATATACCAACTCCACCTCTCCTTCACCCATCTATTCCATCACCTTTTCTCTCAAGGCCTCTACGGCCTCCGGCTTCGCCATCCCATAGGTTGACACTATGTCCATAGCATCGCCTATATTGGTCAGGCTAAGAGTCAGTGTTTCCGGGTTCCTTTCTTTTTCAAACTCATCTCCCCCTAGCCTCTTTCTTTCTTCTTCCGATTCCTCAATCCTGAAAGAACCAGGATTGGGCCTATTCCTTGTACTTCGTGTCCCCATATTTCTACATGTGATAACCTCATAGTTGCCACATACCGGGTCACATAAGAGAAGGAACATCGTCCCATCATGCTTATTCAGTATGACGGTCTCCGTTCGACTCAGGAAAGATCGGCCCAATAGGATGGGATGATCGAGATCGGGCATTAAAAAGAAACAGCTTTTGACTTTAACCTTGCCATTCTCCAAAACCACTCTCAATGCGGTCCCTATGAACACAGACCGACTATTCGCTCCCATTAAAACTCCATCATCGGAGCGATCAATCTCCATCCCCAAGCGCAAAGCATGCTCCTCTTTTATGAGGTTCATTTCCGCCCCAGTATTCACCATTGCCGTGCACATTTTTCCTTTTACTACTACGTCCAAGCATCCACATGCGACGAACTTCCAATCCATCTTCGTGCCTGTCTCTGCCCATTCCGCTTCCTTGGGGATTATGGCCCCCAATCGCACGCTGGCTACCATCTTCCTGGATAATCGAGCTTTAAGCTCGTCCCGGAGCCTTGGCGCTGAAGCCAACACATCCTTCAGGTTCATAAGATGATTATGACCCTCAAGGATTCTATGCATTATTTCCACCACGTCATAGCCTTCTTCTACCCGGACAACATACTTGATTTTCTTCCCCTCTGGAGCTATGTCCGTGTTTGCCTTAACATCCCTCTTCTTTGTTCTTAGCTTGGCCCTCTTATCCTCTTCCCTCCTTAATCTCTCATCTCTTTCATCCTCGTCCTCTGGGATGTCTACTGTCTCTTTTTCCCGACTAGGCTCAGGAACGTCCTTTGCCGGCTCATTGGGGCTTACCGGCCCCTTGGCCCTTGTCCTGACGGCCTGTGGCGCTCCTCCTGACCTTGATGGTGGCCTGTAAGCCATTTCGGACCGAGGCGTCGGTCCCGAAATCGTTATGCCTGGTAGACTCCCAGATCCTCTTTGCGGTCCTATACCCATATCGTAGAGATATACCAGTGACTTTTTACCTTTCCACTCCTTGACCTCTTCACACATGTTGGTCAATTTGTCTTGATACCTTCTTATCTTTGCCACTAGATCCTCTATTCTTTCCATCGTTCTCCGGGCCTCATTCCAGTAACCTCTTTCTATCTCCTCGTCAGATTCTACCACAATAGGTTCTTCCTTGACCGTACCTGCTTTCCTTTCCTGCTCTACTTCCTCATTCTCTCCTATCTCTTCAACCCTTACATCAGGACGGACATCCTCCTCTTGCCAGATTCGAAACATGGTCGGGGGAGCGGGCGGCTCGCCGGCCTCGACTCATCTCAAGGCCTCCTTTCTCGACCCACCAGGGATCTCTGGGTCAATGTAGTATCCAAACTTATCATACATGTCACCGTCGTAGTTGGTACTAATCAACCCTTCATCTTCATCGTTCCTTCGGACATGGCAGAACTTGATGGTGTGACCCTTCTGCCCACAATGCCAGCAAATGACATTCCTCCAGTCTATCCGTCCTCTACCAAAACCTCGCCCGCCGTCCTGACTACTCTAATTCCATGACGCATTCCAATCCCCATTTCCTCCTCCACCGGAATTGCCACCCCCATTTCCTCTTCCACTGGAATTGCCACCCCCATTTCCTCTTCCATTTCCCCGGCCGCCATTTCCTCGCCCTCGGCCCCATCCTTGGTTCTGTCGACGTCCGCCGCCTTGATTTCCCTGCTACCCCTGTGGTGCCGGCTGTTGAGGTTGGCTTGGTTGGGGGCTCGGGTGGCTTACTTGTTGAGTCTGGGGTCCTGGACACCCGCAGGAAGCCGCGCTCAGCGGCGCTCCCGCGCATGATCTATGTGGTCCACTCATCGGCCATGGTACGTATGAACACTGCCCAGGCCAAAGACTGGGAGGTCCATAACCCGGCCACGGCCCATAGGGCGCTGACGCGGCGTGACCATGCGACTCCGGGGGAGGCAGTGTTGTTGCGCGCGGGGTCTGTCCTCTTCCTGAGCCTTGTCCGCCTTGGGCCAGATTTTTGGCCTTCCTGTGTGCCTTTGTTAGCTTTTGAGGCTCAGGCTCCTCCTCTTCCTCTTCTTCCTCCTCTTGCATCACCGCCTTCTTGGCTTTTCCTGAGTCTGCGGTGCCGCCATAGCTTTTCTTGCAGCCTTTGCCTCTTTTTCCACATCGAGTTGGACAACAACATCCTCTACCATTCTCTTAAAGTCTCTCACGTCACTTGTCGTGGCATCCGAAGCCTTCCTTTTCTTCCTGGTCTGCCATCTGAAAGATGTACCTGGTTCAATTCTCCCTCTTTCACACCCTCTTTTATGGCGGCCCAAGTCAGTTTCCTTCCTGGCGCAGCCTTCTTGGTTAGCGACGAGGCTTCCCAATTCTTGAAGTGCCCCAGGAAAGTGACACACTGTTCTTCTTCCGCCAACCCTGAGACTTTCTTTGCCATTTTCTCAAATGCCGTGGCAAAGGCCCCTATTGTGAAGAACTCGTCCCGTCTCAACATTTCCAGGTCTTCTTTGGTGAGTAGGCCGTCACCTAACTTGAAACGTCTCTGCATCTCCTCTTTAAACTTCGCCCACTCACCATTCGCGCCGGCCGCTACTTTCATTACCTCAGGTATATGCTCTCACCATACGTACCTAGGCATCAACTTGAATTTGTCTGCTTCTGACGCCTCGCTAGTGACCTGCTCCAACAACTCAAGCCACTCGGACACTCTATCTCCGTTGAAGTGAAAAATATTAACCTTGGGCACCTGAAGCCGTGCCATCTCTCTTTTTTCCAATGCCTTGACGAAGTCCTCAGGTGTAGCACCCGGGCCCCGCTCAATTCCATCAGCGTCCCCCATCTTTACGCTTTCTGAAAAACCTGTTAAGGGATGAACGGTTTTAACAAAAACAATCGGCCGTCAAATCTCCAACTTGCTTACTTTCATCATTCTACTACTATCTTTATTTAACTAAAGTAGCCTATCAGGTCTCTATATTATAACTTCTGATTCTATTGCTAAAAACGGACATATACACAATGCATACTTTCATCCTTACTCACAATCAAAATAGATTTGACATGCCATCAAGAATGTCACAATACTCGTATCATCGTCAATTAAAGGGAGAAAAATCTTTCCATCAAAGGTTGTCGTTTTGCCTGGATCATCAACTTCCACTTAACCTAGGTTCGTTCACTATGGACCCCGGTAGGCAGCCGAGATCCCCGGCAACGGCGCCACCTGTCGAGCGCATCGGTCCCGCACGGGGACCCTCCCGGCCGCGTCACGCAGGATTATGCAGGACTTGTCGCGGAGAGCGTTTGCCGCTCCGGTTGAGTGCGCCAACCGTACCTCTCGCGAACCCCTACGACAGGACAGGGTTACGCGAGGCACCGCTTACCTCCACCTGCGGGAGCTGTCACCATCCCTTAGGTGGGCGTATCCCTGCCGAGCTACTGAACTACATGCGAAAGTTTTTCGTATGCAATTGCAGAGGTGGCCCAGCCGAGGGCKTTTCTYGTTCGCTGTAGCATAGGGGGTTACGCGCGGTCGAAYGCCTGAAAATCGGACCCGCACGTGAATCGACGTACTGGGGGGCTGAGGTCCCAAACACGACTCGGCGCCGGTCGACTAGGACGCATCACACACACCACGCGATACACCACAACACTCCCATCTACCCACACATATCACATGGAAAAACACAAAACAAACACAACATCACAACACTCCTAGTCCCTTCAGTATCAGACCCATAACTTCATGCCGCGAGAATCAGGTAGGTACCGTGCACTGGACTTTTGTATAAGAGTCGTGCGCACGCATGGCCTCCTCATATCGGCCAGCCATGTGGGCATTCGCAAACATTCGCGCTGATGGGGTACACTATGGTACTCATAGCTTCGCGACCCTTAATAATCTCGAGGGTCACGTTCGATACTCAAGTGTCGGCTGACAGGCGCTTTGAGGGGTAATCTCCTTACGCCAGACAACCGCCATGTGCGGTTGAAAACCACACCCTCTTCCGCACCCTGTGCAGAGGGGTTGAGTAGACAGCTTTAAGCTGTCGTGGCGGTCAAACATCAAGGGGTTTGACTTTGACGGCTGCCACGGACTACAACGTCCAACCA